TTGTTAGTTTTGCCAATACAGTTATGCTCCAGAAAAGTATTATGCAGTTGTTTACCTTTCCACACATGAGTTGTCTTATTGGCTTCAAGCACAAATCTGAGCAGTAGCAGTGTTTTTGAAAACATATCCTTCTTTCTCCCTCCTTCTAGTCTCCCTCCACCTGTAGGAAATATGAAATCAATATGAAATCTGTCTTTAACATGGAATATCTTTCTTGGAATACAAATAAATGACAGGGGATTCATTATATTTTCTTTCTAAGGTTTTATTATACTCTAAGATAATTCTCAGATCAGGATTACAGTGACTCAATACACTTCCATGATGTGAACCTGCTGCCAGCAGAACTTTCTCACTTCAATGAGATTTTACTCTGGAATTTGTTCAAGATGAGCTGACTGGTTATCAGATACTGTAAGCATCAACTTTTAGATTTCTCATTTTGACAGTTGCTCTATTTTCCTTCTGGCTTGTAAAACCTTGAAATAGCTGTTGAGTCTGAGACAGTTTTTTTTTTTTTTTTTTTTAACTTGTTTTGTTTTGTTTTCTTTTGTATGAATAACTATTCAGTATATTTCAGACACTGTGAGTTTATACCTTCTGGTGTCTGACTGAGACACTGAAAATACTTAAAGAACATGACATTATATTTTGTTTTCATTTTCCAGTTCATGACTGAGAAGCCCTATTTACTAGATGGTCTCTCACTCATATTAGTCAAGAAATTGCAATATTCTGAGCTTCTTACCTTAATATTAGACTGAATTCCTTTGCTTTTGCAAAACTGCTCTCAAATTTGTACATGTCCTTTACCACCAGCATTTTCATATTATCTTAAAGACATTTGGGTGGAAGAGTCTGTCTACTGAAGACTCTTGTTTCCATTTATCAGGCCAATGTCTTACATAAAGAATGAAAGGTTTAATTGTTTCTTCTGAACCTTCTAACTGTAAGTCAAGGGAAATGCATTTTCTGCTATTTACTGACAAAGAATAGTATACAATTGAGTTAACTATAGACATGGTAAAGTGATTAGACTAAATGAGTATGATTCTCTATAAAATATATGAAGAAATCCAGGATTTATCACATGCCATAAAAGTATATCATCAAATGAGATGTATCTTCCTGTGAAGACGTCTGTCTTTCTGTCATGTTTACTGTACAGGGAGGCATGGACAACTAGCTTCCTAGCCTTTATACAGCAATACTTGGGTCAGATGAAGACTGATAAAATTGTTTATGACATCCTTTCAGTTGAGAATCTAAACTTACATATTAATGATGTTGTTATTTTTGCTGCTAACTACAGGCTAGACTTTTGAAGCATGTTCATCCCATGCCTTTGGTTTTTGAATGAATAAAACCTAATAAATAGTCATTCTTAAGCAGTGTGCCTTTCTAAAGATAAGCGTGAGCTTTGATCTTAAAATATGTCACATATATTCACGCAGTCTTAACCTAAATAGCGATTTAAAAATTATAGTGATATCCTTAATGGAAAAAAATCTAGAAGAGAATGTGAAACAGAAGAGCAAATTCTATAAATATTTATTTGAATGTTTCAATGAATTTTTAGATCAATTCATTCATCCATCTTGAAGTCATGTTGACTGTTCTTTTTCCATGAATGTCCATGTAGTTCCATTTTGCTAGCATGAATACCTGAAGAAAATTAATTACATTTATAAGGATTTGCCATCATCACTTGCATTTGCTTCCCTACATATTGCCTTTCCCCCATAATATCATATCATATTCTTTCTTTGCTCTTCAAATTCTGAATAATACAAGCTTTTTTTACTGTTTTGATGGATCTATGACAGTTGTTTGAATATTTGGCACTAAAACCACTGAAGTTGTCACGATGTTTTATTATCTTAGAAAACTGGCAAGTTTTTGATAATCACTTTCTTACATTACTAAAATATGTATCTGGATTCTGTCATGTTCCTCTACACCTCTATTTTCTATCTATTTTTAATTTATCTTGATATTTCAACATAACTTTCACAACTTTCGCTGTCTCATGAAATCTTCTTTATATCTTTTAAATAAAATCTTTGTAGTGTTTGCTTTACTCCCCCCCAAAAAAATTAAGTGCTTTTCTATACCAATGCAATTGTAGAAGACAATTTGGCAGTTGTAGTCCTTTGAAAGGAAATTTTATTATTATCAACTTAACTGTCTCTAACAAATGTTCATTTATACATAGTTTACCTCTTTGTCATTACAATGTTTTTTATATTTCCACAAAGCCCCCAAACCACAGCTTCATATTACCCAGGCTGCAGTTAATGCAATCAGACACACAGACAATTGTAATAAAACTTCTGGCTCATTTCTTGATTCATAATTGTGTTAACCTCTAGTGAACCATCCAGTAAACCCTGTAATCCCTTCAACACAAAGCAGAAGACATTTGAAGGGGACTAAGATGCAGATAACAAGCTGCTCTATAAGAGAAGAAACAACTAGAGAAATAATAGCTGAACTGCAGATAAAAAAAAAAAATGTTTATAACAGAAAACCTGGGTATTCAGAGATAAAGCCAGAGGAAACTAATTGCTTGTAGCCAAAGCAGAACAGAGGACATTTAGCAAGGGGTATACACTGGGGATGGTGCTGTGAGGTCACTTCACAGCTATGATTATTAAATAGCAACACACATTATACTGTTTTAAAAGGCTCTCAGTACTTGTTACTTCTACCTGATTTACCTTCACCCCCAACTCAGAGATTTTGTCTTCCCCATGAACCAATTCCTGACTTGGTGTCAGTGAGAGAACACCTTGGAGGAGGTGTGTAAGCACTACAGAGTTACTCTCTCACCTCTTGTCTTCTTGATCAAGACTGATCCTTGAGGTAAACTGAGACAATGAGATTTGTCTGTTTGTTTTGTAAATTGGGAGATTAGCTCTTGTGAAGACTTCAGTGCACTTTTCATTTGCAACTATGTCAACCAGATCTTTTTTCTTAACTAAAGCAAGAAAACGCTGTTGGAAAAATATCCACACAAGCCTTCTGAAGTACAGCCTTGTGTAGGGCCTTTTTGTGTATAAGTTCAGGATGTTGTTGCTTTCCTCAGAGACTCTCAGAAGGAAACCCATTGGTTATACAGTAACCACACAAAGAGGTATAGCTTGCGAGGAAATCCGCAATAATATCATTTGTTGGCTGTCTAGGGCTTAGTTAGGAGTCTGTAAAAATTCCTCTGCTGTAAGGCAAGATTTGCAAGGAAGACAATTATCCCTGAAGGAATTCCATAGTTCATTTTTTGACAGCAGAGAAAGTCATAAGGAGGGAGCTGTGTGTGACTTTCACTCTGGTTCCTGCCCTGCTCCAGGGGCAATGCTCCAAAAGTCTGGCTGCAAAATTCCATTTTATTACTTTTCAGTGTATTTGTGGAAATCTTCATTGTCCTGTTTGTGAATCTTCCTCTTGCATACTGTGCACAAGCCAGGAACCAACATGTTCTTAATGCAGAAAAGGGAGAGTCATGAATACGTCACATCAGGCAGTACTAATTGGGGCACAGTTTTGCACCTCCATCATCCATGCCTGAAGCAATATGACCCCTCATCTCTCAAGATTTATCCTCTCATTTTCTCCACTGGGTCACATATATGCGAAAGAGAATAGCATGCATTGGGAAGGAATCTTTTTAACTACATGCTGCTATTTTTACATCAGCAGAGTCAAAGTTTCAGACTAACTCTTATACATTATTTACTACATTTCCAGTTCAGAAAACTATTTAAGCATATGTTTAATTAGAGTGGAACTAATGCATGCTCCACACTTGAGCAAAGATGCTGTCCTGAAAGTGAGACAGTAATGAGCAATTTTGAAAAAATAAAAGTCCCTTGGTGAAGTAGCAGATTAATATAGGAGACATCATTTATTGAGTGCGTCATTTATATAAAAATGCAAATTCCTGGTAGCAAGGATAGTTTACTGTGTGTTTTTGCAGTAGTAGTTCAAATTACTTGAAAGAAGAGATTTTGCCAGAATTTAATTACAGCTCATCATGGTGTCACAAATAAAAAGAGCATGACCTAGCATTTAAAGAAAAAGAAGATTAATCAATATAATCATCTTTGTTTTTTGAAGATTTGCTTGTATTCTTGTCTTAAGGGCTCACTTTTTTTCCCCAGATGAGTGAGGAAGTTAGAGAGATTTGTTTTTATCCAGATCTAGCACCTTGGCTAAGATTAGTAGCATGCTAGCCTCACATGCCATGATGTTTAAGCTGTTCAGACATGAAAAACAAAAACTAAAACAAAACAAAACAAAACAAATCAAAAATATCCCTTACCCAAACAAACCAATATGAAAGAGAAAATTAAAGGAAAAAATCTCTGTGTTACATCCATTCTGGAAACTTCAAATATCTCACCCATAGTGTCCAAATTTTACAATATAAAGTCTACATGTAATGGCAGCTTCTAAATCTTTGAGTAAATTGCTTGATATAACATAGTTAATTCAAGAAGGTCCAGGAAATTACCTTTGATAAAATGACATTAAAGCACATTGCTATAGTTGAAACTCAAGAGCTTAAAAGTCTATAAAATGTCACAATTAATGTTCCAGTGTTAGTCATTTACAGTATTAATCCTACAGCTTTACTGATTGGAACCCGAGACCCAGTCTGGGAATAAAGTTATAGTATATTTTTTACAGTTTAATATCTACATCCACCTTGTCCTGATGAGTGTCATTTCAAAAAGAAAAAAGGGTTGGCTTTCCTTCTGTCATTGCTGCATTCACTTTCTCTGATGTTCAGGGAATGTTCTTTCCATCTGTTTCCATCTATGTAATTTTTACCACCTACTATGATCAAAAAAGGTTAATAATAAGAAAAATAAGATGTCTTGTCAATTTTTAAAAATTGTCTGGTACAGGCACTGACATAAATGTGTGGGGTTTTGTGTCTGCTTATGTGCGTCTGCATGTTTTAACACTGCAATCTAACATCAACAATGTGTTCAATATAGGATATTCATCAGCACCACAGGCCACTCTTTGGGTATTCCTGTCATATACAGTTAATCACTGGAATTTTGAATTGGATTTACAGCTTTACTGAGGTAGTGGGGAAGACAATGTCTTTACATTTAATGATGTTTTTCATTACCAAAACCATGGGATAATTCTTTCATTCTTTTCCTAGCTGTGATTCATACACTCTCTTCTGTTATTATTAAGAAATTAAAACTTGTTTTTGTTTCTGAGACTCATTCATTTCTACAGCTTGGATTTCTTGAATTTTTAAAGTTGAAGAATACATAAGATAGATACTGTTTTTTTCCCCTCTCCGAACTCTGAGTGATATTATCCCAGATATGCTTAGTCCTAGCCCAGACCAAACCTTCCTATTGTTGTGTCAAACCTTCCTGGAAATTACCTCAAACCACACACAAGCTACTGTCACAAAGTCCTGGTCTATTTTCTACTGAAGTCAAACACAAGGTTTATGCTGGCTGCAGGTGATCAGGTTGGGAGGTATGGACAGAACTATCTGGGCATTTTCACGTAATGAGTTCTGATCTGATGTAGGAATGTGGGCTTCAGATGGCATTCCTGAGCTTTTGCTCTCTTTTTTACATATCATAAGAAGAAAATGTTGTGGTTTCTCTCTATTTAATTAAAAATAGAGATTTATTTTTTTACTAGGATATTTATTATATTTTGGGAAGGAATTGCAGGTGGTTATGTATTTAGTGGAGTCAGAGGAGAAAGTGGAAGATCAGGAGGTTGGAAGAGTGAATAAAGAAGGTGACCCATGCATTCCTTGGAGTGAAATATGCATTGAACATTCATCAGACTCAGTGTCATCTGACTTGATTTGGGTTACAGACTTGTGTAGTTAATATTCCATTGCACCCCACTGAAGAAATGTTGCTTATGGAAAAGTTGTATTCTCTTTTAATCCCATTTTCTTTCCCATCTGAAATGAATGAGATGATTTTGCTCATGATTTCCTTTGACTGCAAGATGATTGGTGATGTCAGTTAACCTCTTTAGAATTATAATACTCTAAAAACTGGGTGGGGCTTAGAATTTGCGAATGGTTTGATTTGATTTTGAGAGTCTGCAATTGTAAAAGTCTCTGAGGTTTATCAGAAAAAAAAAAAAAAAAAAAAAAAAAAAAAAAGAAAAAGAGGAATAGGAGAGTTATGGAGATCATAGATGGGTCTGCAACACTGTGTGATCAGTGAGACTGAAGCCTGAAATTCTTTTGGGAAACATTGGGCAGGACCTCAGATGTGGTGGTAGTTGCAAAAATAAGATCATCCTTCATCTCCTGAGTAGTTACTGTGTAGACTTTAAAAATATTTAATGTTACCATACTCCTGAATTTTGAGACAAAGAGTATTTCACTGTTATATCTGATGGTTTTGTTCTTGCTAGGGTTTTGTGCCTCATTTGATAAACTTTTGAGTCCGTGAAGAGGAAGAAGCGAAATGGGACGGAGGGAAGCATTCATAGATCTCAGTTCATTAATTACTGTTTTTCCTTGTTGAGAGCATATGCATCAGTTCTTTGGGTTTTATTGGGAGGGAACCAGTACCAGACAAGTGTGTGTAAGGATAATTCCTAGATTAAAAGTGTCCATATATCTTAACAAAAATCCAGGGAAGAAAGTTGTAGTTTGTTCTTCAAACTCTGTGGAATCTGGATTATAAAGTCATGGCTAGATGGGATCATGGTAGAAGTGCTCTTGTACTCTCTTCTGAAAATCTGTCCCTGCATTCTTAGTAACAGAGGTGAAAAATTTAAGGGTAATAACAGCTGAATTTGTATCTGTGCCAATGCTCTGTTTATGTGAGGAGCAGTTAGTATTTCAAAACATGCTGAAGAAACTCCCACTGTTTGTACCACTGTTCCATGGATAGTGCTTCACTCTCCAGGGATGTCAACCTAGCACCACTTATGTCATTTAAATTTAACACACAAAATAAAAACTAATGTTTTTACTAATTTTGGAACTATAGCATGTAAATATAATTTTATATTTGTTCTGATTGCCTGACATTTTCAATAAGGAATGCCCATAAAAGAGAATTTTTTTTTTTTTTTATGAAGCACAGGTAAAAGGGCCGTAAGGGAAATAGAAGATGATTAATAAAAAAATAATAAAAATCTACAGAATAGTTCTGATATATTTTTTTATTTCCCTTGTGCACTTAAGTTAAAGGCTTACTGTTATGCCAAACAAACACGGTAGTATAGAAAAATTTATTTTTGTAATTAACAAGTTCGTTAACTTTGTGACTAGAAAGTCTGCGATTCTTTGGAAGTATGTTTCATTAAAGTAAAGTAGGATTGGAATGTCTATTTTCCTTCTTAAGGTGAAAACAGAAAGAAGCAACAGAAAGATTCATAGTATTGAAATCTCTGGCAGATGAGAGTATCAACAGTGGCTATATCACATACATTTTTTTTATTCCCTGCTTGTGATTCTCATTTAAAGTCTATCTAAAGTCTGAACAAACTCAGTAATGTGAAGATCACCAGTCTGATCATAGCTTCTCAAAATTCAGAAGTAGGACTTCAGGTCTGAAGGTTTCTCTAGTAAACTCTCTAAATTCAGAACTTGAGCAGCTTACAAAAATGATAGAAATGAGAGGTTTTAGAACTAACTGATAATATGAATGGTAACAAATCATCAGGAACAGATGGTATTCACCCCAGAGTTCTAAAAGAATTCAAGTATAAAATTGCTGAACTATTAACTGTGCTTAAAACGGAATCAGCACCAGGGAAATGGAAGATAGCAAGTTCAGAACAGTCCAGGGAGCTACAGACCAGTAAATCTGAGTTTTGCTGAGCAAATAGATAGCTACTGTAAGAAAGAACAGAAATAACAAGTACATGAATAAATATGTTTTTACAGGCAAAAGTCATCATGTTTTTCACAGAGGTTACTCATGCTTAACAAATATTTTAAAGTTCTTTGATTAAGTCAACAAACATACAGGGAACAATTTTCCTTTTATTTCCAAAGACATTTATGTGAACAATAAAAATAAAATTGAAAGAAGATGTGTCACATATTAATAAGTGTCAAAAGGAGAAGAAGTAAAGGCAAGAACTAATGGTCAACAATAAACAGAGATTACAATTATAACTACATGTTGACACAGATGATATTCCTATTTTAAATATATCCATCAGTAACTGACAATAAGACGAAACATTTCAATGTTATTTAACTATTTTGGGTAGTAAAAATGACAGCTGACAATGATGAGGTTTAAGACTAATTCTTTATATGTTTAAAATCTGTACAGTAAGACAAAATTCTTTGTTGAAGATTAGAAAGTAGTAAAAGGACAGTCATGACAATAAATGCATGGCAAAGGTCAGTAAACAAGATATCATTTTTGAAAAAAACTCACCTTAGAACTACTGTTGACAGATTTCTATCAGCTCAATGCTCTGTAGGCACAAAAAAAAAAAAAAAAAACACAAAAAAAACAAAACAAAACTGGAATGGGAATAAAAGGAAATAAAGGGAAAATGGAATAAAGAATAGAGCAGAACAAAGTAAATGCTACATGTGGTTAAAAATTGCCAAAATATCATGAGAAGTGGTAATGTCTTCTATTCTCAGAAGTGATATGGTGGAATTTGAAAATATAAAATTAGGTAGGCAAAGATACTAAACAGCTTCCATATGTGGCTACATCAAATACGTGTTTAAGTTTTAGCAGGAAACTGAGAAAATTTTGACATAGTGAGACAAAGTAATGGAAAATGTGAATAAATAAACGATATTAATTATTCCTAAACATACAAGAATTGGGAAGAATTATATTAAACCTAACTAATCAGATTATATGGTAAACAAATTAAAATGTTTTCATACACAGTGCATAACTGAACTATGGAACTCATTGCTGCAGGAATTATAAAATACAAAAGTTTTTTTGATTGATTAAAAAAGTAATTCAACCAGACATCCTTGGATGACATTTCTAAGTCAGGAAATGCCTGAAACTTAGATTCCCAAAAGCTGCAAGGATATAGCAAGAGAAGTATTCTCTCTGTTAATCTATTTTCACGTCCTGTGCCTAAGCAAGTTGCTGCAGTTAATGGGGGACAAGACAGAACTGTGGGCTAATTTATTTAGTGTCGCTGCTTTTCTGCTGTAGCATATATAAAAAATGAACCATAACAACAAATTTTGATGGAACAAACGCACGGAGGTCTCATGAAAACATTAATTTACATAAATATTTGTATTTACATACTCTCATATATTATAAATTAATCTGTATAACAGTATTAACATAGTGGCAATATAGAATAAACACTGTATTTATATCATGATCATATGATTATTATATTATCATAGAATCACAGAGTCATAAAATAGTTTGGTTTGAAAGAGACTTTTAAAGATCACCTAGTTCCATCCCCATTCCAACAGGCAGGGACACTTTCCACTAGACCAGGTTGCCCAAAGCCCCGTCCAACCTGGCCTTGAACCCTTCCAGGGAGGGGGCAGCCACAGCTGCTCTGGGCACCCTGGGCCAGCGCCTCACCACCTGCACAGAGAGGACTAATAATTGATATTATATAAAAATTGCTACTAATGGCGGCTGGCAATGGTTTCCACTGGGACTCTATTTTTCTTTATTTATTTCTTTTTCTAAGGGACTTTATTTTCCAAGCAAGTACTAGCTCAAAGCAGAAATCACTGGATAAAGAGGTTCAATCTGCACTATAAAGAAGTCCTGAACAATGGTCCCAAGAGTCCTTTCTTTTCAGAAGTGTACTCATCTTTTGATATTATTTTATTTTCTCTTTAAGTGCAGGAGATTCTCAGTAGTAGTCACATTTACTAGAACAGTTTCTGGAAAGGAAAATCAAAGAATCATCACATAATGACAGCTAATTCAATTCAAAATAAAGGTTTCCAGAAACTTTTCCTACATCTGTGGTTGTGTTCTCTAATTTAATGTACATATTAAACATGCATATAAGACAGAAGTCACAAGAGAATCAGGGATGGTGTCAGAGACAGAGCCCTGGAATTCCGACTTCTACTCATCAGATCAAACACCAGATAATATTGTCTCCCTTGTGTATGATTATATGCTTTGTGTCATTTCACAGCAGAAAATAACAAGTAGTAAGGGGTGGAGAAATTCACAGATGCATCTGAGGAGGCAAGTTCCAAAGCCTAAGGCTGACATTGCCTTTCAAAACAATTTTGGCTATGAGTGCGTGCAAACAGATGTCAAGCTGGGGAAAAGACTGATCAGCAGTGCCACTAATTTGATGTCCTCAATGTTTCACTAGCTGGCTGATTTCCCATCCTGGACTACTGGCCCATTAAACCTGTCTTTTATTGTATAGTCATAAACCTGAATGACAGAAAATAAATAATTAAGCCTAGTCAAATAGAAAGCAAAGGATTTGCGTGACCCCATTTGTCTAAGATAGTAAGGAACAAATTGGAATCTAAGGGCTAATATAGGAAAACATAAAAAGTGTTTGTTTTCTGTAACACAGAGCTGAGATGTTTATAGCAATGTGGGGAAAACACTAGGTGCATAGACAGACCTATTATCCCAATTATCTGACGTGCCAGGAAGGAAAAATCAAGCATACTTCCTGTGCTCCCAGAGTTACATTCACCTTTTTCCCAGGAAGAGGAGCCTGAATAAGATCACCTTTGAAGTTGGATGTTCAGCGATGAGGCATTCTTAAAAGGTTAGGCTTGTGATTACTTTGAGGAAAAATCCTTGATTTCTGCAACATATCAAGAGGTTACCTGAACTTTCAGAGCCAATGTTATTAAATTGAAAACCTTACATGTTCAATCTTACACTCCCTATAATCTGAAATACTTGGCCATCATGAACAACTGGAAATAAGTGAAGAACTATGTCCTGCTATGTTTGACTTTCTTTTTAATAAACACTGTAGTCTGTATTTTCAATATTGGTATTTTCTAGAGGTCCTACTCCAAAGTCGGTGAGATCCATGTAGGTCTTTCCCTTAGCTTCAGTATACTTAAAGATGGAGATTCAGCAATTCAGAAGTGATTAGAGTTGTTTGTTACAACATTATCGCTCCTTCAGTTAGGAGGAATAATTAATAAAGTCAGTAGAACTGAATCTTCAATAACATAATGCACAGTGGTCTGTATATAGTTACCAAATTAAAAGATGCAAATGTTTTACTGCCTTTGAACTGTACCTTTGATTACAGAGACACCTTAGAGATGGTTGACAATTGTTCATTCTAATTTCCTAAAGCTTCAAACAATACCAATGCATTTAATTGTTCAGGAAAAGTCTGTATGATTTGAGTCACTATCCTGGTGTGAAGTGCTGTGTTCTTAGAAGCAGACTACTTTTGCTGAATAAATGTTAATATTTCATGAAAGTTGAGTTGCTTATTCTACTCTGACTGCTTATTTCTTTCTTCAGTTTATTTTCTTAAAGTTTATCATTCTGTAAACTTTTTATCAGATAAACTGGATATATATTACAGAATCTATTTGGTTACTGAAATCCAATATGAATTCCTGAAGTTGCTAGTCATACTAAATAATTGCAGGTAATCACAAGATGTTCTGCCATGTAGT